ATTTTTGTGGTCATAGATTAATCCGAGGATGAGCTTGTTACATGGGGAAAACACAACTCAGATGGGGAGGATCAGCTACACTTGACTGTGAGAGCTGAAACTGGCTTAAACATGACCCTGGTCTCTACTTATCTTCCCCTTTCATCTAATGTTATGATAATCGCTTCTTCCAATCAGTAAAAATGATCACCACTTGTACGGGCTATACAGGTCATTTAACATTGAATTTTGTGTGTGCCAAGCATTAATATAAAGAAGTAACATTATAAGGCCCTAAAATTTTGTAGTTCTTCATATGCCAGACTGATGACCTCTTCACTACAAAATTATTAGTAGTAACGTTACATTGTAGTGATGCATCACGCAACAGTGCAAGCGATACACATTTTCTGCATGCCAGCAATGCACTTTTCATGCTCACTGCTAAATCACAAAATTAATTTAATTAATGTTACCCCCTACTGTGTCCCCTCCAACACAGGAATTAAAGGTACTGCATGCCAATATGATATTTTGTGGGGGTGGGGGAGGGTGGCAGCAGCCTGACTCCAAGGTTGCCCTTCCCTGTGACCATGCATACTCCAACAGTGTTACAGATATGTCAGCGCAATTGGAAACAGCCGAAAGACAACCTAAGGTCAACACATTGACAGAACGGGTTAGAACTCAGAAGCTGTTATTAATTTTGACCGTATAGTGTTTCGATATAGTTGTAAGGAAGGAAATTTTACTGGCCTTCTAATAGTATTGACATTAGATCCCAGTCTGTAAGGTCTATCCCATCATCTCATAGGATAAGGCTGTTGTAAACTGTCCCAATTCCAACTTAATCTTCCTCAGACACCTTACTTATACATGTACTCAGGCCTAGGAAAAAACATGTTGTGTTTCCTGTTTCCCGACCAACCCCTAGAAAAACCTGCCGACCCTAGACTTTCTCTGCAATGGACCCCTGCAAGGGACATAATTATTACCTTCGCCAAGAAGGTTATGTTTTCAGGGGCGTTCGTGTATGTGTGTGTCTGTCTGTCTGTCTGTCTGTCTGTAAACACGATAACTTGAGAAGGCCTTGATGGATTGTCTTCATACTTGGTAGGTGGGTAGGTCTTGATGAGACCTCAAAATGATTAGATTTCGGACCCCCTAGCGGCTTGTTATGGTACTGCAGCTGAACTTCCCGTTTTGATATCTCATGATCTAGACATGCTATGGTGATGAAATTTAGATGGTAGGTAGCTCTTGTGCTGGGAAAGAAGTGACGTGAGTTTAGGCCCCCTAGCGGCTTGCTCTGGAACTACAGGGATAAATTCTTGAAAATATTCAAAAGGGGATAACTCAAGAACCAGTTGACGGATCGTCGTGATTTTTGGTATGTAGGTAGCTTACGTGATGCTTAATATAATTATGTGACAATTATGCAAATATGGATGTAATTTGCATAATTATTTATGGGGAAATTTTATGAATCAGCTGCATTCCATGATAGGACAATTGAAGCTTGTGACATTGGTAATTGACAACGAGAGAAACACAGGAAGATGTTGATTATGTTAATAATGACTTAATTTGCATAATTAATGAGAAAATTTTATAATTATGTAATGATAACTGCCTGGAATTTCATACTTGTGGTATTTGAAAGTTAAATTGAGGTGAACATCATTAAACATAATTTATTCAAATCAGGACCTTATTTGCATAATTTATCAGGAAATGCTAGAATGCATTTTTTGTTAATATAAGACTGTCTTTTGGTTGAGATTATGATAAAATGATATAATTCATGAAAATTAGGTTCCTATTTCTTAAATCAGGGGGAAATAATCTAATCTAAACTTTGTCAGTCATAAAGATTAACATCATTTGGCGAAGGTATGAGATCGGGGAACTCTAGTTACATGTGTTATTAATTTTTCAAGCTGATCAACCTTTTCTAGCTCCACGATCATGACACCTGAGTGATAAAACATTGTACAATTGGTTTTCTAACATTGACATCATCAGGACGTAGGCATCAGGACGTAGATGCATCTATGGCATAGGGACAATTTATATCCTCTCATGCTCTCAAAATCCAACTCCAAAACTACCTACCAAAGCAATTCCTTCATTCTAAGCTTAATATATTCAAACCTCTAACATTTAAGAATCTACATGTAAGAAAACACAGAGCATACTAAGTCTGACTCACTCTGATATACATTGTACTGTAGATAAATGTACATGACTATGTCTTAATCATCACTATTGAAGACATCAGTTACATGTACTTTCTTGGGCTGAGTCATTGTTATACTCAGTGAGGATGACTTGGTAACCTATCATTAGTGAAAAATCACCTTTTCCTTTGACAGTTTAGTTTCCTTGTAATGGGTAAGATAAAGTTCATTGACCTTAATGATAGGATGATGTCATTGGTGGACTAAAGGCATTGAATAGTATAGATATTTATTACAATGGTTATGGCATTGTTATATATTGTACAGGTGGTAGCATATTGTGTGGTAGTTTATGCAGTACTACTAGTTATCTGAACTGAGCCAGCTGTATACATCTGTGTGGAGATGCAAGCTTAGTAGCTAGGGGAGTAGGGGAATGTGTGGTATCTATAGCTATTGAAAGCTGTGTTTTTTTGAGTGCCTCAGCTATGTTTCTTACTGGTATAAACAAGAAGTTAAACTGTTGAGATGTTTAAACGTTAAACATGAGGACACAGTATAGTCAAAAGTGGCACAGCCCCCAGGAAAAATTATGGTAACTTTCACAGTGGAGGCAGCTTGTCAATTGCTGCCTACTCTCTTTTTATACTATCAAGTCACACAGTCATAGACCATCTGACATGATGTTTTTATGACTGGTGATATCAAACTTCAATAGACTGTATCTGGTTAGGCAACTTAGACTTCTACATTGTCTACAGACATATTTCTGTACTCAGGGACCTGTAATATTTGATAGGGAAGTTATGAACCTTAATCTAATCAGAGAAGCAGAGAGTGATAAGCTACCACCTGACTTTTGGTATCATGCAGCTGACTGTATATTTCATTAAAGCCACAAATATAGAGATTACTTTTTAATGGCACCTTAGATTTGTGTATAGTGGGGAATTTTTTTAAAGAAGCTAAGGCTCATACATTGTAGGTCATATGAGTATAGGACAAATTAAGTATGTGGGTACTTGTTCACCCAGCTTTCAATTTAATTTAATTCAATACCAAATGTCTGAATTAAGGTTGTCATTTTCGATTTTGTGACAAAAGTCCACATGTCGGCTGTTTGTATATTACTGAGGTTCTCTCTGTCAGGATGTACAGAAAGTAGACATTTCCTTCCTTGCGCTGAGTGAACGAAGCTTGTTCAAACTTCTGTCGGCATGTCGGCAATTGCAGAAATTACATCCCCACAGATCAAAGGAAGGGGGTTCACGGTAATGTGTGCGCTAAGCTGGCTGGTAGTGAAGTGGTACAGATAGGAAACACTCCTGTCAACGGCCATTACAGCAGAACTGTGATCAGTTTGTCCATACACCCACAGGTCTCACCCAAACATTCCTGTGGAGTCCCCTGTTTGTACTACACGCGCGCTGAAGAACAAAGACAGAGCTAAGCTGCATCTCAGACTCTGAGAAAATAAGTACCGCTTTTGATGTACCCCTGCCCTCTCTCTGGTGGACAAGCACTCCAGTCATGCTTTACAAGGGGGCCTACATGCCCTTTTTCGTAAGGCGTAATCAGGCCATTTTAATCCGTAGGCAGCCTCCCCAAAAATCAACGTAATTCGTAATAGTACATTGGGCAGAAAGCGTAAAGTCATAATCAGCTCTGAGACATTAGCGTAATTTGTAATCGGCAGTAAGAATTTTGCGGAATTCGTAATCACTATCCCCCCATGCAGGCCCTCTTACCAGTTACTTCAGACAATTAGTCCCTTAACCCCTCTAGAAAGCCCAACAGTTAGTCAGGATGTTAGCTGTGGAATGCAGGGTAAAAAGGTTAAGTGTGGTCATTAGGCTAGGTCAATGGCTAATTTTCAACTTAGCACAACAAAACCAGGAGATTTGCTACTCGAAGATGAAGGATGATCTTCAAGAAACCCTCCTAGAAGGGTTTTAAGAGCTGTAATTGTATTGCTTGTTTTGACAAATTGGTTTGTGAATGAAAATGAGGGAAAGAAATAAAGTTATTACTTGTGCTACGTTGTCAATGTTCTTTAAAAAAAGTCATACAATTCGAAATCAGGTTGAGAAGTAGCATGGAAAAAGACCTTTCAATCAGTCTCTATGACAGGATGGGGATATGGACTCATCAGCAACAAAAATGGCACTTTCAAACTTTCAAAGTTCCAAAATTGGTCCATCCATGCTCTCGAGTTTTAGCAAGAAGACCAATATTACTATTAGATTCTTAGGACAATGTGTGCTGCACTAGATAGAAATCAAGGTTCTGGGGGAAAATGTGCCTCCACACAATTCACTAGTGACTTCCAGTCTTGAATGTAGTCCCCCAGGGAAATGAAGGATTTCATGGCTAGCTCCAAAGCAGATTGCTGGGAAACAGGGCTGAATCCAGTAAGGATTGGACGTGTAGTGTATTCTTTTGAATGCCAAATTCTCAAGAAAACCCACCTTAGACCTTTTAATTGGTCCCAGTCTAAACAGGATACAAGATATACAAGGTGTGGGGTAGGAGATAACCTTTTGGGGAAAAAGTTAGCACGGAACAGGTCACTTGTCCTGTTTGTCTTACCTGCACTCGCTCTTGAAATAGTAAGAGCAGAAACACAACTTTAAAGTTTTTGTAACCAACAAGACAATTATCTGACTGGAGTAATTGCGCTACAGACCTGAATGTGTTGTTTTTCTTTGCTAGCACAACAGAAAGGCGTTTTCTTCCTTAAGTGGAGGTGCGTGTATGTTTTGTCGAGGATGTTGTGTTTGCAGGAGAGAGTGTAAACACTAAACGTAGACATATCAGAGGGAGGCAGAAGGTCTTAATTACCTGTGAGGAGTTGTGAAACCTCGTTAAGCCTGGTCTGCAGGGTGGTGACAACCTCGTTAAGATGGTCGACTGTCTGATGCACGTCTCTCATCTGAATCAGATCTACCTCACTCATCAGCACAATCTTCTCCAACTCTTCGTTCTTTCTTTTCAGACGCTCGAGTTGCAGGGTCTGGTTTAGGAGCTGGATTTCCAGGTTTTTCACTTTCACGTCGTGTTCGAGCGAACGGATCTCCATCCTAGCCGTGGCGTTGACTATTTCCTTGCGCATGATCGCGTTGGAGAGTTCTCGGTCTTCGCGGTAGCGGCTAAACTGGTGCCGCAGACGGTTCGCCTTGTCCGACGTCTTCTTGACGTCTCTCTTCATCTCCGTGAGGATCTGAGCCGACGGCGAGCTTTGGCAGGACGGGTCCTTCTCGTTTTTTGGCACCACAAAGGTGTAACTACAGGCGCCGCTCTGAGCCGGTGTGTTACAGACCTGGGTGCACTGCTGACCTCTCAGTACATCCACTCTGTTCGCCCCGGCAAAACCGTTCTGTCCAACCAACAATAAAATACTGCCGAAAAGCACCACAACCTTGCACACAGCCAGCATGATGTCAGGTCCAGGCAATGCCACTGCCAACTCCTATCACAGCAGAAAACTCGGCGAGATTTACCCGTTGAATCGGAGGTCGTGACTGGCCACCCGAGGTGCGGTTACGGACCCAGTGTTCGCCTGCCCTACTTGCGTGCAGAAGACCCTGTGTTGTTGTGTCCTGCCAGAACTAATGCCCTGGCACCATGTGGGGAGCTTGTCCTGGAATTGTGAACAAACAATTAGTAGTGGTTGAGTGGGCAGCAGGTTAGTCACTCTCAGCCAGGTCTTGTGGGCCTTGTTGACTCACTGTTTGATACAGGCTGGACTAAATCATTTGCCTGGTTCTCATCACAAGAAAACATGCCCGAGTGAGTCAGCTGTGATTAATTTTGCTAGTTTGAATTGAACTTTTAATTTTTCTGTGTTCCATCGTAGAGTCAGGCAGGCAATAAACTATATAACACTCTCACAATACACATGATAATGTAATAATTATCTACAGCTTATAGTTCTGCTAGACAAAGTCTTTTTTAAGTTAAGGGATGAGAAAAATCGCAAATTACTGAGGAATCAAAAGCATGAAATTGGCTTGGATAGGCCAATTTACCATGATATTTGAAAAGCTTCTTGTTACTGTGTTATACCGAATACATATTATGTATTCGGTTTGATGGGTAACATAATAATAAACTTCAATTTTAAGGACTAAATGTGGTCTCCTATATAGATATTTTGTTCATAGCAATTTGTCAAATAATAAGGCCTGGTTGGTTTGTTTGTATATTGACTTCCCCTTTGTGTTACTGTATACTGCTTCTGAGTCAGCGTTGCCTCTAATGTGGTGGATGAAGGTTGCTATTTCCCTCACATCCTCCTGTTTGTTATTTATCTCAATCAGTTCCTTCCTCCCTTCTTCTGCTTACGCATCACACCCACGTTTTTCTCAGAAGAAATTACTGGTAATCTTAACAGGGCTCTCGTCAGCTGGAAATCTTTTCCGTAAGCCCAGGTTCATGATTGTACCTGGTGGGAGAGTGCTCACAACATAGGGGAGTCCAGGGACAAATTTTGTACTTTCAAGCCTTCAAAAACACAATTTCCCACATTTTGAGAGGCAAATCAGAGGGTTGAGAGTGGTTTTTGCTGGTCCTTCAGATGTTTTTATATTTTACCCAAGATTTTTTTCATCAAGGCTGACAGATTGTTTTTAAAAATTTTCCGTCACATGCCACAAAGTTCCTGGAATTGATGCTGGCTAGAGCCTTGGACCTCAAATACGTCTATTCCTGTCTGAGCCAGCCATCCATGTGGTCATGATTGTCCCCCTGTTTCCCTGAGACCATGTCATTAAGGTAATGAGGAGAAGGGTTCCTCTTAAAACCTGGTCAGGGGGTCGGACCAATCATGCGACATTTCCTCCCCTGACAACCAATGGGGAGGAAGGACCACTGTCCGACCATGACCTGTAGATTACAGCCTTGCCCAGAGCCCCGCTGTTCATCTCACCAAGATGTGCGTCATCCTCAATTTCTGTAGAAGGTCCTGTAGGGGGGGCCTACATGCCCTTTTTTGTAAGGCGTAATCAGGTCTTTTTAGTCTTCGCAATCTGTAGGCAGCCTCCCCAAAAATCAACGTAATTCCTAATGGTACATTAGCAGCAAAGCGTAAAGTCGTAATCAGCTTGGAGACTTTAACGTAATTCGGCAAAAATTCGGCGTAATTCGTAATCACTACCCCCCCATGCAGGCCCTCCTGTAGCACTGGACCCCACTTCATTCTGGAATTGCCAATATTTTAAACAGGACCTCAAATACATTGATACCATGCCCTTGGTGTAGAGGTGGCAGATGAGTATCAAAATGTATTGTGGCTTTAGCTATGGCATACACAGTCAATCTTAGTTGAGTTCATCTATATTTCACATTGAATGCTGCATGTCTTTATTCCAGAAAGGGAACAAATGGAGAGAAATCATGCATGAAATTTCTAGATTACTGGTTCCAAGGCATTTATTTAATTCTGAATGTTTCAGGAGATTCAAAAAATACAGTATGGCAAACTGAGAACTTTGCTGTTCATGCCAACAGCTGCTTCTTTTTCCTTTTCTGGAAAAATATCTTTGATCTAAACTCTCTTCTTATCACCCTGAAGGTATCTCCATATACTAGATTGGTGCTGGTATGTGGTAAAGTGATAAGTTGAGGTGGTGATGTTAATGCCTGCTGAAGCCTTCCTGCCACTTTAGAAAGAAATTGAGATGAGCTGGTTTAGTGCACTGTTTCACTTCAATTATTACAAACTGCCAAGAAGAAAAGTTTAGATTTTGGTTTGATGCAAAACTGTGGCATCTGGCCATTTGCAATACTTGTAATGCTGTAAGTCAAGCCTTGGTACAAACTGGATTTTAGGCCACACCAATTTAATTTGTTGGTTCTCGGATTCCCCTCTTCATTTTTTTCTGATTTGCAAAAAAAAAAGATTCTGGTTCTGAATCAACTCAAAAATGCTCATATTTTGCCCCTAACAGTAGGTGGAAAGTTCTTTTCTTCCTAGCTGTTACAGTTTTTCCATCCATCAATGCAGTGGTTTGATTAAAAGTTCAAAATTAATTGTTGAAATACCAACAGCTTTTTGTGTTGACTTCATGGCTCCTATCGTAGCATTTGGGGCTATAACAGGATGCCTAGACCTGTTTTTTTTGCCCTATTGCTTCAAATTTTTTCCAAAAAAATCCAAGAACCAACAAATTAAATTGGTGTGGCCTGATCATCACATATTGCCAGTGCTGCCCTGCCCAGACACTACTTTCCCAAGAAGCTGAATTAAAAAACAGACACATGCAGGCTTCTGACCTAATCTAAGGAGTTCTTGACATTGTTTTGTTGCCCATGAGGTGGCTACGGAAATTGCACATTTCATGCCCCCATTCCATCATCCTCTGCAAGGCTCGAAATTAAAGGTGGTCCAAAGGCCACTGACCACTAAAATTTAGGCTGGGACAACTAAAAAGACACTTAAGGACATTTTTGGGACATTAGAAAAATCAGCATCAGAATATCAGCCCTTTTTTTGTTTATCAGGCACACGTCCTGGCTTTTGGATCTGGAAAAGTCCTTCCTGTCTACACTGCAATTGTAGTGTGCCTGAGAGTGAACATAAGCAAAATAAAGTTGACTTCAAGTTGAAGTCATACAATACTTCCCAAAAACAGGTTGGGACAGTTCATCCTCACTTCGGGACAGTTGAAATTTATATTTGGGACAGTGGTGGGACAATAGGAAGAAAAGGTTAAATTTCGAGGCCTGCTCTGTACACTTCCAGCCAGGTAGGAATCTGAGCGATTGAGCTTGTTTTTCCAGTCTGCGTGCCAAGCCAAGATCAATCCCCGTCTGTCCTTGATTTCATCCCCCTTTTTCTCCCTTTGAAATCAGCAAACTGCTCTGTAATCACTGACTTATTTTCATCAGTAAAACATGCTGCCTACAGGGACCCCCAGGCTAAAACTGCAGGTCTTTTTTCAATAAGCTCTTGTTACAAGTTCAGTCCAGGCCGACTGCATAGACAAAGTGGTTCCTGTGAGGGGGCCTGCATGGGGGGGTCCCGACAATGCTCTGCGGCTAAATTTTGAGAGCCGGCTACTACGTAATACGCTACAGTAGCTATCACGCTTTACGATAAATTCCAAGTGGCTACGACGCATTACGTACAACTAAAACGCAAATTACGCTATACGCAAAATACGCCAATTATGCTCTATGTTGAATTAGAGCGGTCCGACTACACTCTATGTAGAATTAACTGACGGCCGATTACGCTCTACAGAAAAGGGCATGCAGCCACACACACACACCCCTGTGAGACTTCTAATATTCCAATCCACCCATTAGATATCTGCCTTGAAGGCAGGTCCTGGCTTAGACTTGTTAACTTTGGCAAAGCATATCTTCTCTATCTTGGGATACCGTAAACTATATACTCTAGAGATAGGTTGTGTAGCAGCAACTCTTTAAAAGAGGAAAGTTCCTTTCTGGGCGCAGTTGTGCTTCAAGAAACAGAGAGTACAGTCTACATTTAGTTTTGTCTACTGAGTTTAAAGTCATTAAACATGAATTTGCGTGCATCCTAGGAGGTCTCTTGAACCCCAGAACTGTGCATGGCAACTTCCACAGCCTAGTGTGGTATTCTTTTCAACATCAGAGCAAGAAATACACGTGTGTTTGCTTAGAACCTAGTCCCAGGTAAATGTTTTCTTTCAAGTTCAGTTCTTTCCTCAACATGGAAAAAATGCGCCCAAGTTTGTATTAGTCAGTTGAGCTGAGACGTTACAAGACTTTCCAAACATCAAAGTGTGGGATGTTATTTTCTAAATGTTTTAGTTTCTTTCATCAGTCAGACAGTCTTACAGTATTAGATATTTAGTTCAAAGAAAACATTGTCTCCATTCATTCACTAAAACAAATCTAACAGCATTGTAAACTTGCATAAAATCATATGTCATTTAAAACCATGATGGTCATCATGTAAGAAAACAAAGCTTTGATATGACAGAAATGTTCTTTGCTAATATCACACCAATGATAATTATTATTAGGTGCTTTCACACCCATAAGAAGAGGGCCTGCATGGAGGGGTAGTGATTACGAATTACGCAAAAATATTGCCACGGATTACGAATTACGTTAATGTCTCAGAGATGATTACGACTTAATGCTGTGTGGCTAATGTACTATTACGAATTACGCTGATTTTAGGAGAGCCTGCCTACAGTTTATGAAGACTAAAAAGGCCTGAGTACGCCTTACAAAAAAGGGCATGCAGGCCCCCATACTTTCGAAACATTCACAGTGCCCTGGTGTTTTTCTTCTCAGTTCAGAACTACTTGTAATCCAGACTTGACCCTCCCTAAGCTGTGCAAAACCTTCCTCCCCTGAGTTTGTCCAGCCTGATCTAGGGTTACTCTGTCTGAATTACACAGAAATTTGAAAATCCACTGTTATCAGAATTAGCTAGGTAATGATCTTCCCTCTGCTCATGTATATATTATTGGCTGTCACTGAAATTGTCCCTCTTCCCAGGTCTTAACGGAACCTTATCTGTACCTTTGAAGACCTAATAAATAATTATGCTTCGTTGTGTTTCATCATTTCATGTCTGTAATTGTGTAAACTCCCACATTTCTGGTAACCCCCTCTGCATCAGGCACTTGCAAGTGAGTAGTAGTCTCAGTTTCCAATAAAACTGTGGCATCCAGACACAAAGAAATTCCAAGAAAGATTTTACAGTTCTTGAGAGATGTGAATTTATTCCTGTCTGTGTCTGAGCTCAATTAAAGATGATGTACCAGTATTCCAAGGAGGTTTAAGATTTTAAACCTCCTTGGGTATTCTTAGTAATTATTATATATAACTCCTTATCTTCTTACTTATTTGGTACATCAACTGATTTTAGTTACATTGTATAAGAAAACATGAAATGCTTAGTTTTGCTCTATCTATCTATCTATTGCCAGCCTGTTCAGCTGGGACCAAGCAAGTACAGATTTCTCTCCATAGATCCTTATCTAACATAGCTTTTTCTAAACAAGCAAAATTTTGCTCTAAGAAAGTTGATAACAGAAGATTTGTATTTTTTACCTTTTGAAATAGCCCACAGTCTTAGCAAAGTTGCTTCCCCAAAGTTGCTTGGTGCTGCTCCAGACACAAAGTTCCTTGCCAAAGTTGTTCAAGGTCCTGAATCCAGACAGCCTTGGTTCTGTGGCAGCGTGTATACTCCCAGCGCTCTTTATACAAGTGGCGCTGCGCATGTAGGGCCTGGTGTTTTGTGGTGAGACAGGTGCTCCTCACTACCCACACACAGCACACACACACACACTACTGACAGGGGCTTCCTCTGACATATGGATGTTATTATAGGGCCTGGCAGGTACTGTAAACAGGGGGACTGCACAGTACTGTTTTGTAAGGGGGAGGGAGGGGCCTCCTTAATGGAGCCATAATGGACTATCCCTCGTAGTCATACCTTACCAGATAGGCATGGATAACTCAAGTTTTGGGTAGACTTCAATGAAATTTGATATTGAAGGTGTTAAAAAAGTACATATAGTGAAAATTCTGGTATGTAGCTACAGGTATGGGCTCTTTTTACCTTCAACGTCAAAATTTAGCATCCTTCAACACATACAATGTTGTTGTTTTTTTCTCTTATCACAAATAAGGCAGCTAGGGTCATGAAAGTTCATCCCACCACCAGTCTAAATTAATTATGCAGCATCCCTTACTTGTTGTCAGTTGCAAAGGTTTGTCAGTGTCTGGAATAGTCCATTACAAATGTAGGGGTGGCAAAATAAAGGACTTATTTGGCCATATTGGTAATAATGCTTTTTTTTCACAGAAAAGGCATAAATGCTAAATGTGTCATTTTCACCCCCAACTATAGTTATTGTAGTATATCATATAGCCTATGACATGACATGATTGTTATAACATCTATGCTGAAAATTGTTCTTTTAATTAGACCCTCCCCCCCTCTTTAATAGTAGACCAAGTTGGTCTCTCCTTCAACATTTTCTGCACACTGGCAATTTAATGAGAAATGTACACTGGTGTTCCGTGAGGTCTTTCATCAGCTGCTGATCTTGGTAATGGTATCTGTCCCCACCTTTCACTGTAGGGTATATATCTCATAACCTATGTCAGGGTTAGGTGTGACCAGGTCTCTCCATGTACAAAATCTAATAATTGAACCAGTTCCCAGACACCAGTAAACAGGGTTGGACAAGTTTTCAAAAATCCACTTGCCCTACCGGGCAAGTACCTGGTCATTTTCACTTGCCCGAACCAACTTTTCACTTGCCCAAAATATGACGCATTTCTATTCATTTTACTAGCAGAAAGGAAATTATTTTATTATAGAAGAGTTTATTTATTGGATGCTTTATTCATCAAAATTGTTTGAAACTTGATCGAAATAATGCAGGGGCTATACTTTGCATCCTAAAATTTACTTGCCCAATCGGGCAAGTGCAGGGGGATATTTACTTGCCCGAACAGTACTTTTACTTGCCCTGGGCAAGTGGGCAATGGGACTTGTCCAACCCTGGTAAAGCTGATATATTAATCCATAAATTGCACTTCTTGATTAATATGGTATCCAGTTCAAACTTGGCACCTACCTACACATTTCATTTTTCTGAGGAAACTCCTACAAAAACAATATGAAAGATGGACCTTGGTTGGTAATAAGATTTTGTTTGTGCTCAAATTGTAAACTTTGAAGTTTTACCTGAATTTCAGATCATTTTGCTACATTTTGCAGAAAATCATTGATTGTTTATACATGTACCAAACTTTGCTATACATACAATCACCAGAGCTGGTATTCAAGATTCCTACCCTGCACATGTCCTGAAAGACTGAAATTTGTAGATACAAATTGTACTTTAGAGGGATTGAATTTTTTTAACATTCTTCTGAAATTTGTGTGAATCCACAGAGGTTTGTACAATGTAATTTGCAAACTCATGCCCAAAGGCTGTTTCACAATGTATACACATTGTACTACAAGTGTGACAGAGGTAAACAAATGTCTAGTCTATAGTGATATATCTGAATGTTTCTATGTACATTAGGCCACACCAATTTAATTTGTTGGTTCTCAGATTTTTTTTCAGGAAAAATATGAAGCGAGAGGGCAAAAAAAATAATAAAAACTGGTCTAGGTGTCTTATTATACACTGTAGCCCCAAAATGGTACGATAGGAGCCTTGAAGTCAACACAAAAGGCTGGTTTAAAATTTTAACAATGAATTTTGAACTTTTAATCAAACCACTGCATTGATAGATGGAAAAACTGTGACAACTAGGAAGAAAAGGACTTTCCTACTACTGGTAGGTTTGGTAACAAGGCTAAATGAATACTCCCAGGTTTTTAATGAGTATTGTGATCTTGGTAGAAGTGTGGTTGAAATCCATACTTTGAATTTCTTAGATTTAGATGTGAAGACTGGACAGATACTGCCTCCAACAAATTAGTCCCATCTCTTGCTGCCTGTCTGGAGTACAGAAGATGGACAGGCAATTAGTCCTGTGGGCTGGTCCTCTAAATCAGCCCTACAGTCTGGCTGGGGACCAAGTCACCTCTGCACATGGCCTAAGGCAAAAAAAATTGTGTTTCCTGTTCCCCGACCGCCCCTAGAAAAGAGTGTCAACCCTAGCCATTTTTTGCAAGGGACAATTTTTTTGAGCTGATTGACCATTTCTATAGCTCCATGATCTGACACCTGTGTGATGAAACGTTGTACATCGGTTGTATCGGTTTTCCAACATTGACATTGAAAATGTAAGTGTAACCATTACACATGTATACCTCATGCAAGTTTTACTTTGTTAAACTATAGTGTATAAGTATAGTTTACCACCAATATTTTCAGGACTTAACAGGAAACACAACATTTTGTATCCTAGGCCTCAAAACCTCTGCTGTATGGCTGGTTTAAATTATGGCCACTCAAAGTGGGACAGGAGGGGAGGGACAGGTGCATATTATTGCCCTAGATAGACATCCAGTGCAGTGCCTCTCATCTTGTTTTTCAGGCTTAGAATTACTAAAATGTCTGGAGGCAAGTAATTTGAGGAAGATATTTGCAGAAAATTTGCAGTGCCCCACATGGAGAGAGTTTTTTTCTGGTACTGTAACACTATATAACACTATATGCTGCTCTACTCTACTCTCTATATATATATCATTGTTTCCTACACTGTAATGCAAAGATACCAAACTGCATGAGTATAATGTAATACTGTACGTGTCGTATGCAACAACAGTTTATGACAGTGTGAATACAGGTGTCTGATATGGTTTGCAGACTTTTGTGGTTGTTGGAAATCTGTGTGAATCTGTTTTTTATAGTTCTATCTTTGGCAGTTTGTAACTGGAGCGAGAAATCAGTTCTCCTCCCAGTGGATTTAACACAAAACAAATACTGAACCCCAGGCAGCAGGCTGGTGCAGTTTCCTCCCTGTAGGACAGTCCTGATCGCACATGTGATAAGGAGCTGTAAATCTTTTGCTTCTGAGTCTGGGTTTTCTCACTTTCTACTGTGTCGAGTAAGCCTGCAATGAGGGACTTACAGCAATGAGGCTAATAATACCTCTTTGTTTTGAATTTCAACTTGTCTCTCTCAAAGTCATCAGTTCTCTCTAGTATAAGCCTTAAATTTTTGCTAGCCTCCCACTGTCAAATCCAGCCTTGCTTTAAGCTCCAAATCCATCTGTCGTTCTGTTGCCAAAAACCAAAGCCCTCACCCCACATCCTTTATCCTTCCACTTCTAGTGATAATCTTAAACCCTCAGGCAGAAACTTGGATTAGACTTTTGAGAGAAACTGTCCAGAAGGCTGGCCAATGACTAAGGATGCCCTGGAGCTCCTGAGCTCCCCCACTGTTTCCAAGTAGCCCTAGTCTCCAACAGACTCCTTTTGCAGGGTGTAGAAACCGACCTCAAAAAGACATACAGTAATCGGCCAGAGAAGGTAGTCGGCGAGAGAAGCTCAATTTGCCTACACAGAAAATAGAGCTTCTCTGGCGGGCTACCTTCTCTGGCCGATTATGTCCCCTTTTTATACCGATTTCTACTATTTATTCAGCCTGCAAAAGGAGTCTGGTGGAGACCCATCCTGGACATCCACATACACAGCTGGGATGGCTCACTTCCTGATGATTAGAGGGAGATAATCTAGGATTAACTTCAAGCTGTGGATGTTGGTAGGAAGCCCTTGGGGGATCATCTTGTGGGAATTAAGCTAAGGTGTATGAGAACTTCTTACAAGATGTGACTACTTCCGGTGCCTTATCTTCATCTTCGTGGGAGAATAAGATGGTAATAAAGAAGTTCTGAGCAATGTAGGGAAAGCTGTAGTTACGGACAGAAGCAGTGTTGGAAAACATGTACTACATTCTTGTTATGTTGCAAGTGGAGAATCTTGGGCTGACGTATGTCAACCTGCACATGTACCTTGAGCTGTTGACAAGAAACAATGCAGTCTCAAATTTCATTACTGATGCTTTTGCTTTGGCAAGAAAAGGATATTGAAAATAATCAATGACAATCTGCAACTTTTGTACTACATGTCTTTTTGACCATCCAGGCACAGTGTTCCTCCTAATATGGACACACATCAAGTTGAGTTCCACAGATAAACCTGAAGGCCATCCTGATCTCTCCTGGGCTTCTATAGGAAAGTCTGGGAAAATCCCCCTCCCCTGGGCCTGCCAGGATGGTACAGTCCACTTTGATCGAAGTAAGAATTACTTAGATGATTCTTGTACTTCTCGTCTGGTCTTTCCTCTAATTTTACACCAAGTTTTCTTCCAAACTATTAAACCTTTGCTACACAACTCAACCTGTGTGATTGAACCATTTACTTGTACATGTACATGTACACAACTACATGTAGTGGTTGATAATAATAGCTATTGGCATGCTACACATGTAATGAAAAAGGACATGAAAGAATATTTGAGATAATTGTAAGGACTCCAATGTTTTAAAGAATTATTTATTAAGTTTGTTTGCTAGGTTCCTTCCTCCTGCAGGCTACTACTGTAGTACTACTATTATAATCTACCCTACTCATGAAGGACTGTAGAAAACAGACCTCCCACAAAGTAGTTATTGTATAGACTATTAATAGACCTCAGACTGAATTATTTGTCCATTATTGCACCTCCTGAGGTGGATGATGACACTGGCAGATTCTCAGCTGGTTACCATGGTAATTTGTGTGCTTCGGACCATTTCATTTCATTTCATAGGATAATTTGCCTACACGAAAAGGAATTAGAGAATCTGTTAATCATCTATGAAATCCTGAGACACATAT